TTACCATCAGTCAGTTAAACTCTTATATAGCAACATGAAAGATAAACTTTTATATATGCAAATATCTTCAGCTTTATTGTAATGAAGGTGTTAAACATATTTTAAATATGGTGATATTGACTTTTGTTTATCATTAGACTCATCAGTTAGCATATTTTATCAGTAAGTGAGATTGATTAAAGTTTCTAGAATTAAGAAACAATAATACATTTGACAAAAGAAATACATCGCTGTGTGAAACGTATTGTAACTGTAGTGGAATTCACAAAATAATGTGGGTTTAATATGGTTGTAACGTATCAAACCTCATTGTCATTCCTTGTACAATTGGCTAAATGGAGATTTGTGTGAATTAGGTTTTTGAGGCACTTATTAAGTCTAATTTAAACTCTAAATATGACCAACACAAAGGACGAGGAACCTGCACTTGAAATGAGGACGAAAAGGAGCGCACAAGGAAACTAGAGTGAGTGACACACAGCAATAAAGAGAAATCTAATCTGGTAAAACACTAAAACCGCTAGATGGCAGTATGTGTCAGAGACGACGGAGGCTGTTATTTGAAATTACTAGCCACGGTACGCAAAACATTTGTGGTAGTTTTCATGCCCTTCAGTTGAATTTTCCTTCTTCTATCATTTTCACACACGGAATTTAAGCTACGCTTTTTTTGCAGGCATTATGAGTTATATCAATAAATCCTTGTCTATTTGAAAAATTTTTACCTGGCCAGATGAACAAACTTACGTAGACGTAACTTTATTTAATAAAACTACACGTAAAGTAAACATAAATTATAGTAATTTTATTTATAAAGTATGAAATAAGTATGAGCATTCAATGTATGACACAGCTTTACGAGTTGAAACAAAGAAACTCACAAAAACAAAGAATAAAACCCATACTAAAGAAAAAAGTAGCTTAAAGGTATTCATATCAGTCTATAAAAACGAACGAAAACTAAATTATTGCAAAATAAAGTGAATGCAAAGTAGTAACGAAGGCAAACTTAGCTGCATATGCAGAAACGTTTGCATGCGTGTTCACAAAGTGATAGGCATATGGTTTTGAACTTACTGCGCATGGACATTTTAGACCTAAATAAGTTGAGAAAGCCCATAGCAATTGTATTTAGTGTAATGTTAATTTTTTTTAGGAAATTGCACAGGTTTAAGTGTTGTTTGTGTGAAAAACTCTGCAAATAAAAAACAACAACTAAAGTTGAAGTGAAGCCTGTCGTCACGTGATGACAACGACATTGTGCCATCGTGTAGCATACTCGTTGCATTAAAAAGTTTGACTAAATAAAATATAGGTAATGTGATTCTGTATGGAAAAGCAAATGGGCAATATGGACCCTTCGGACAAAGGTATTTCTAATGATATGAGATTTGTAGCGTTTGATGGAGAAATGTCCGAGAAAAAAGTTCCAGACAGGCATATGTAAGCGTATTATTTATATAAATTTTACGCACTCTGTGAATGTCATTTTATTGTTCTTCTGCCGTTTCGGTGATATGAAGTAAAATAGGAGGGAAAAAAGGGTAACTTCAAGCTAGCCCTTTTCCATTTTTTGATGAAATTTTGTTTGTATTTCATACCTAAGTTTCACATTTGCAGCTTGTGTTGTTTAAGAATTATAAAACAAAATAATTATAGGCTAGAACTCCCATCTTGGATTTTCTGAACGAAATTTCATTACTCATTTTGTGTCATTTTGTGAGGTAGACTTTTAACAGAAAGCGTGGCCTAGTGGTTAGCGTGCATGGACTGTGAATACAATAGTTTATGGTTCGAATTCTGTTGCTTAAAAACGCCCCTACCCCACTTTGAGACCATAGATGCACTATAACTGTAATGATCAAACTTCCCTATTCAGTTAGACAATAGTAGCTCTAAAGCTGGCAGTGGGAGCTTGCTGTGGACTAGCTGTGCTTCTTCTCCATCGGGTTTTAGATCAGTTCAAATTAGGGATGGCTATGAGCAGATAGCGTTTATGTAGTTTTGCGCAAACATTTTAAAAATAAACAACAATAGATCTTTTAAATGATAGAAAGTCTTAAAGATACGGGGTCTAATTGATGTCAGTATTTACCTCTGTATCTTTTTAGATAATTTTGTTATTATATCCTGTTGATTTTCTACCATTTCTTCTTTTACATTTTCTGCTGCGTTCGTTTTATGGGTATAGAAACAAAACAAATAGGAATGGGAACTAATTACTTCTTCAGTCTTGTGATTTCTACACAAAAGTCAGAAATTCGTAAATATATTTGCAAGTGCGAGAAGAAATTCGCGTCAATAAGTTCCCTACCGAAACATAACCAAAAATATAATTACAGGAACTGAAAACATTTCGTGAAAAAAATTAGAGATTGAGAACTACCTTGACGGGACTAGTTAAAAATATTAAATTAATGCCATTTTCTTTAAGAAAGAAATAATATATCTTTCTGATGGGCGGGGTGTGAATCCAAGAGTTCATGGTTCGAATCCCGTTGCTTAAAAACGCCCCCCCCCACTTTGAGACCCGATTGCGGATCAGGAAGCCTAAGGTTTGAGCCCGAAAGTTGCTGCTGATCACGTTTTCTACTTTCAGCTGTGAGTACATTATAAAAGTGACAATCAATCTCACTATTAAATTAAGAGTAACTGCTGCTAATTGGTTGTCCCCCTGTTTGGTCAGTTACTCTAAATTATTGACTGCAATGGCTAAAATTTGGCTTTATGACCCGGCTATCTAGCTCATATGTCGCATACAGTGGCGTTTAGGTCAAAAATACGGACATTATTCCTGAGCAGCAGCCGTATCTCTCGCATCACCTCGAAGACGAAACAAATCAGTTTGTACTTAAAGAAATAAAAATACAATAAGAGTAACAAGACAAACTAACATGGCGTTTCTTTGGACACCAGTATATATCGTATCAGTCCACTATTTCGTGAAGAAAGAGATTTAAAAGAGGTATATGAACAGTAGCGTATGGAGCTCTATTTGGTGGTTTATTTTTATGCTATTGACCTAGTTAGTTTAATGATATCTGGGAACTGGCTTATCTCTTATTCTTGTTTAAGTATCAAAGAGAAACATTCCGTTGTGTTATCTCGAAACATAAACTAGCTTAACAATATTTTGTAATGATAAAGTAGGTTAATGGTGTTAATGGATAAAACACTACACCTTGTCTGGAGTTGCGTTAATGAGCTCGAACACTAACCGGTTTAGTGACTTTTCATAACACTATTCTGTTTTGTGAAAACTAGGATTGACATCGCAGTAAATATTGATATTTTTTAAGGTTTACTTCACACAAACATTGTTCAAAATGCTAAGCTTAATACTGTATTTAGGTCGTTTTATTGCACATTACGATTTTGGTGCTTGAATGGAAATACTGTATGTTAATCGTATGTACAGCTGCTTTTCTCTCAGTTCTAGCTTATTTTCTTGCTTTAACAATGCTTTTGACAAATGTAACCTCAGTTGTAACAGTGTCATCTGATGTCGTAGCTACGTGAGTACTCTTTAGTCACCACAAGTTACGGTTTCTTTACTTACCATTACTCACCACAAATATACCAATACCACAGATTCGTGACTAATTTTTCTGCTCACCACAAGTGTTCAGGGGTCATGGCTTTATGGCTACTCTCTTGCTTGCCACAAACATGTGGAGTCATAGCTTCACGGCTGTTTTTTACTCACCACAAATATACCAATACCACAGATTCACGATTACATCTTCTATTCAACACAAGAGTTCTGGAGTCATGACTTTATGGCTTTTGTTTCACCACCAAAAGTATACTGTTTTTCTCATCATAATTATATTAGGTTTTGAACTTAATGCCATTTTAAAATGCCATAACAGACAGTGCCTTACCAAAAAACGTTTGTTTGTAGTGCTCTGCCCACCACGGGTATCGAAACCCGGTTTCTAGCGTTATAACTTCGCACACATTCCGCTGTACTATTGGGGGGGGGGGTCGACGAAAAATGTTAATAAAACAATAAAGTATTTATTACGCAAAAAGGTTTAGCAAATTCTTCTCCAAAGTACTATTTGCTATTAAAGTATTCTTGTGACAATTTTGGAGTGACATTCAGTAATATTTTTCGAACTTCAATGCTAACAGCTTTTCATAGTAACTTATTATAATATTTTATTTGTTATAATTGTTATTGCTAGTCATTTCTTCTAAGAGTTCTTGAGATAAATGTACGAGTAAATGATGTAATTTTTCCCTGTAGTTTTCACTTGTATTTTATTTAACGTTTTTGGAATGACGTTTCCGAAACACTGAGCTATGAAGGTCGTTTGATAACGCTATTAGACAAATTTGTTTTTTTCTAGTGACATTGTTTCTTTATGAACTTTTGCTCGAAGCTACACGACGGCTAGCCGTTTCTGGTTTTGAAGTTACAGGTTAGAGTGAAAACACCTAGTCAACGCCACAAACCGCCAACTTTTGGATTACTCTTATGAGATTGAGTAGTAGAATTGAATCGTCACTTTTATAATGCGTCCCCATTAGGGGTGATAAAGGGACGCGAACCACGGAACCTCAGATCCACAGTCCGAAACGTTAACCACTGGGCCGCGTTTGGCCCACAAAGGGAGGCATATCAACTTGTAGAAACGTTCAGAAATTCAGTTAAATATTTCTGTGGTAGCATATTGGTTCATATTGAAAACGACTTGTTACGTCATTTATATGATGCAATAATATAGTGTTATGCTCTGTTCTGCGAGGCTTAAACAAGTACTTGTGTCGATAGAAAATAAAGAGATTATGGTGTTTTCAATCAGATATAGATTTTTGTTATTTGCTTTATGATTAAATATCATGTACATTATAGCTTTCTTCATGTATTTCATATATCACACCAGTGTTCCTCGGACTAGTTAAATCTCCTACTGAGTGACGCAGCTATTTCCGTTTCCTGTTTTAGGCACGCTAAGAGCTGTGAAGTCAGGTTGTTCTTCCCTTAGAGCCGTTACGAACGTAGGAGAGGAGGTTTAGCACGTGCGCTTCCTACTCTATATTTCTGACTGGACGCGGACCTTTAAATGGCTTTGGACATTCTTGACGGGAACTTGTACGACTTTGGAATAAATGACTTGAAGGACATGTGGAATTCAGAAGAGTTGGATACGGTGAGGAATATGACTATCAACATTTCTTTTATCAGATATTTGACACGATGTTTATTTACACTTTTGGTTTGTTTGTCTGTAGTTGAGCACAAAGCTACACAATGGGCTATCTGTGCTCTGCCCACCAAGGGTATCGAAACTCAGTTTCTAGCGTTGTAAGTCCGCAGACATACTGCTGTGCCACTGTATTTAATAACTGTATTTGTTTAGTTATCACGAATATATTTCTCATATTATTATTGCATGCATATTAATACTATATGTACATGTAGCTCGTGATAAAATAACTGTGTATAGAGTGAAGTAACATTTGAAGTAACAACAATATGAATACTACACTGTTACATTTAAACAAGGCAGGAATACACATGTAAACTCAAATGGTAACTTTCCGGTTTCTCTCTCTCTCTCTCTTGTTTTATCTATACCGTGATTTACGAATAATTAATTTTAGCCTACTAAAAATATATATTTAGGTTTAACTTTATCTTCTGTAGATTGCTAAGTATATAATTTAGGTAAATATTTTTGGACAATGTTTTGAATAATTCATAGCAAAACTCGATTTAACAGGTGTTTACATTTATTTTGAAATAAATTAAATGCTGAATTAATTACTCAATGTCACTGTTTTACATTTTAATCTATAAGTTATTTCCTATAAATCTTATATTTCGAGAAGTAGTAGCAACAATAAGTTTTAGCAAGACTCAGACGATCAGTATACGTAATGCTTAATTTATAGCAAAAAATGTACTAGGTCTCTTTGACCTATGAGATGGTTATTTTGAAGTTTTCGAAATATAAATTCTACTGAGGTTGCTATTTGGAATGGGGCTGGAGGAGTAATGTAATTGACTACATCAGTTAAATATCATTTCGGAATGAACCGAGGCATTCCCAAAATTAATTTTTGTTTACGTTTTTAGATTAAAAAGAAATAAATCGAAAACAGGTTCCGGATTTGAAATCCAATGAGAACCGGCAGAAATTAAGCAAACGAATAATACATGTTGCAGGTAAACGTTATCAAAACTAACTCTTTTCATTTTTACTTCAATGTTTTTCGTTATTGAGTCCTTCTACACTAACATTCTTTTTGAACGAGCAATGCAATTATGTGATGACGTAAATGTTTAATGACAAATCTAATTAATCAGTATTTAATGGTAATCTTTATAATCAGATTGATGTTGTAACTATGGGCTCTAGAGTGGCTTTTCCTATTGTTAACTGTTTGCTTTTATTTCGTAAAGGACAATGGTTGGATGATTGTCTACAGTCTTTTAAGTAATTATATTTTCGAAGATGTGTGAATGATGTTTTTACTATTTTTAAGTACTCCAATTATGTTTCTCAGTTGCTAGGTTATTTAAACAGTAAACATAAAAGTATCAAATTTACTGTTGAACAGCACCAAGATATCAAACTTCTAATTTTGGATACATTAGTGCATATTTGCGATGGTAACATTGAATATGAAGTTTACCATGATAGAACATTTACTGGCCTATATTTTTATTGTGTACTTTATATAACAACTGTGTTTAAAGAAAATCTGGTGAAGATTTTAGTTCATCTTGTATATATATCTCAAGTACTTACGAATTTTTTCACAAAGAACTTTTCAACATTAGAAAATTTATATGCAAAAAAATTACATTCCTATATTTTTGACTGATCGAATAATTCATGATTATTTGAACATTCAAAACACTAGTAATTTAAGCACGTTTTAGGTGAGTGTGATGTAGTCATCCATTCAAATAATATTAAATTCTTAGCAAGGGCCAATGATGAACAAAGCCTCCGTATAAAAGACAGCATACTCATTACTTGCTTATCACGTAAGTTAAAAAACAACAATAAAAAACAAAATATCTTGTTAGTGGACTACACATCTTGAAATAAAAAACCTTCAGTTTGGGTGAAAATTACTCAAAAGACATTTGAAATATAGATGTCCATTCCACATCCAAAATATTGAAATTTACAACTAAATCATAACTACCTTTTATACTTATGAATAAAAATCCTATAACATGAGTGCTTTCGAAAGGTAGACCTTCCTTCTTCAGGAGAAGGAAGGTCCACCTTTTGAAAGCGCTCGGGTTATAGGGTCTTTATTCATTTCTATCAAGACTTCTTGAACCTATGTGTTTTTCTAACATTATAAATATCTTTTATACTAGGTATGACTTCCTTTCATGCCTAATCATGGCTGTTATTCTGAATTTTGATTAGCTATACCTCCTTTTCTTCTAATTAGAACATGATTTTGAGTAAGAAGGGTGCGAACCTTTATTGTTCACACATAGTGACTCACTGTTACATCTGTTGATATCATGATCCTTATCACCACAGTAAGCACAGGTAAAGGATTCATAGCAGGAATGCCTAAATAGCTTGCAGTTGAAACCTCTGAGGGTTCTTACTATATGTGTCCTGCCTTAACATTGGCAGGAGGGCGAGATGAAGGAAAGTATGAATTAGGACTATAATGTGTTCTCCTTCTATATACAGATAGCCATTTAACAATTGTAACATCTTGGTTCTGCAGCTTGGATAGAAATTACACTCTGGGATGTGACGGATTTATTATCATATATTTATTTTAATATCGATGTTTGCTTGAATTAAATTTATATTTACAAATGTACAAAACTGATACTGATAAATATGTATTGCGAAACTCCCGCCTATTCTCTGAAGTTGTAGAAGATTCTCGAGTGTAAGAATCAACAATATACGTGTGTATGTAAAGTCTAGTGTAGCGTGTTAGTATTGTTACGTAATCTGAATTTTCGAGAAACTCAAAAAACGCCTGTAAATATAACCAACACGACGCACCTAAAAAGTATATATTATTGGTTTGCTATAGTTGG